AACATAGGGAAACGTTTCAATGAACTCAATCCATTTAGCATGTCGATGGTTCAACTTGCCTTGGCTTTTAAGATATTTCAATGCTTCATGATCGTAATGAATTACAAATTCTTTAGGTAACAAGTAATGGTGCCAAACTTCCAAAACACGAACTAAGGCATAAAGCTCTTTGTCATAAACCGAGTAATTCAGATGTGGACCATTTAGCTTTTCGTAAAAGTAGGCAACATGTTTACTTTCTTGCAGCAGAGATACCTCCTATGCCAATACCACTTGCATCACATTCGATCTCAAATGTCTTACCAAAATCGAGAAAGTTGTAGCAGCGGTGCTTCACAAAGTCATGTTTTCAGTGTAATGAAATGCTTGGTCTTCGCCATGGCCCCACGTGAATGGAACATCCTTCTTTGTGAGATTGTTAAGGGGTAGCGTAGCGAGTGTGCTGAAATTTTGACAAAACGCCTATAGAAACTTGCAAGACCATGAAAGCTTGAACTTGGCTCACATTTACGGTGTAGGCCAATCTGTATTGCTTTAACCTTCTCTTCATCAACCTGAATACCATCTGCGGAAACAACAAAGCCAAGGAAAACAACATGGTCTCGTGCAAAAGGTGCACTTAGCAATGTTGCCATACAATTCTCTTCCTCAAAACAGCAAGTACTTGACGGATATGATCAAGATGTTCATCAAATGATTTGCTATAGATCGAATATCATCAAAATAAACAACTACAAACTTGCCAATGAAAGCTCATAAAACATGGTTCATTAAGCGCATAAAAGTTGAAGGAGCATTTGTCAAGCCAAATGGCATCACAAGCCATTCATAGAGACCAATTTTAGTTTTAAACGCTGTTTTCCATTCATCACCAAGTTTCATGCGGATTTGATGATAGCCACTACGCAAATCAATCTTGGTGAAAATGATGGAACCACTCAATTCATCTAACATGTCATCAAGTCGTGGAATGGGATGGCGATATCGAATAGTTATAGCATTGATAGCACGACAATCAACACGCATGCGCCAAGAGCCATCTTTCTTTGGAACTAAAAAGAACGGGAACAAAGACATGGTGATAAGGATTCACGAACATACCCTTTGTCCAAAAGCTCTTTTACCTGTCGCTGAATTTCCTTTGTCTCTGTGGGATTGGTGCGGTAGGTCGGACGATTTGGAAGAGAAGCACCGGTACCAAATCAATTTGATGCTCAATTCCACGGAGTGGAGGAAGTCCAAATTGGTATCTCATCGGGAAAAACATCTTGAAGTCCTCAGAAGAGATCAAGAACAACACTAGGCAGCGATGAAGGTAAATCGTTAGTTGAAAGTAGGACCTCCTTGTGCAAGAGCACAAAGAATGGGGCTGTGGTGTTTCTCACTTCTCTCATATCACTCTTGCTCACAAAGAGACACTTTCGGTGTGTGGCGTGGTCATTTAGGATTGGCATGAGTCTTTATGTGGTGGATGGGTTAGAACTCTCTCCTTACTTGTGTTGGGGATCTCACTCAATTTTCTTGTCGATTCCTCTCTTTTCTTGCGAGCCATATCTCGAAGCATGTATCTCCTCCGGAGATAATGGAATAAGAACCACCTTCTTGTCATTGTGAATGAAAGTGTGTTTGTTAGACCATCCAAAATGCACCGAGTCCACATCAAATTGCTGGGGCCGACCAAGCAAACAAATGGCATGCTTGCATGGGGACAATATCACAATCCACCTCTCCATGATAATCACCAATGGAAAATGACAAACGAATCATGGCTGAAACCTTAATCGTCCCGGAATTATTCAACCATTGCATATGGTATGGATGTGGATGGTGACATGGTCGCAAGCCAAGCTTCTCAACAAGCAAAGCACTAACAATATTATTGCAGCTCCCACCATCTATGATGAAACGGCACACTTGTCCTTTCACTTTGCATCCGGATTGAAACAAATTATGGCGTTGTCCTTGTTCAAAGAAAGAAACAAATTGAGTGGAAAGAACTCGCCTCACCACCAAAGAAGGAGATGGTGTGTTCATTATAGAACGCGTCAAATCAGGAAAATCAGCAAGCAACTCATCAAAATCATCACTAGTAATCTCGTCAAAAGATGGAGAAACCACATCTTGTAATAGGTCATTGTGAGCAAAAGTTGGAATAGGTTGAATGGCTAAACAATTTAGACCTAGCTCAAATGTACCATCCTCTGCTTTGAATACTCACAAGTGTCAAGATTAAGATCTACAAATACATTGTTAAACTCGTCCTCCTCTTCACTTTGGGAATCATAAGAACCATCAAAGAAGTGCAATAATAGTAATGCGACGATTGGGACATTCACTTGCTTATGCCCATGACCACCACACTTAAAACACTCAATCTTGCTTGTCTTGCATTGGGTGTCTGCAGAGAAAGAAGTGGGCTGACTTGAACTTACAGCTTTACCTTTCACATCCAATTGTTTGGAAGAAGTTGGAAGATATCTATTTGATCCACGAGATGAAGATTTGAGCGTTGCGCTCCTTGTTTGTTGGAATTGAGGCGTGACATCCCCTTGTTTGTTGGGAATGACGCCATGAAGCATTGTATTTGTAAGACGTAGCAATTTGCCTTTCAACCCTCTTTGCAAAATGAACCAACTCGGTGAGACATGTGTAGGTTGTCATATCCACTTTATCAAAGAATGGGTTTATTGAGGCCAACTAGAAACCGAGCCATTGTGGATTCCTCATCTTCGATTATCCTCAGTCGAAGTACACACATTTCAATTCTTGAAAATATTCATCAACAATCACGAGTACCTTGCACAAGACGTTTCACTTCAAATGTAGATCACGAGAGTAATATGTCGGAACAAAACGACGTCGCATTTCTCTCTTCATGTCTTCCCAAGTTATACTGAACATGCCCAACTCTCTACGATATTCAATGCGGACCTGATTCCACCAAGTTATGGCATAGCCTTTAAACTCAATGGTGCAAGCTTTGCCTTCTTTTCAGCAGAGTATTCATACAAATCAAATATTTGTTCCACCTTGGTCTCCCATTCAAAATAAGCATTAGCATTCTCCCCGTCCATTGAAAGGGGGAATAGACACTTTCACGTTTCTTAAACCATCATCATTATGACGACGATGGCGGTCACGATAACCATGATGGCCACCACCATGTCGATGATCATCCATGTCGGACAACATATCATCATCACCATCATAATCTATACCTCCAATTAGAACGCGCCGAGCATGACCAAAACCATGGCCAAACCCACCACGTCCATGTCCATGACCAGCGGCACGACGTGGTGCCTCGTTATCCTCATTGTCATCATCCTTATTTGGTGGTGGTTCTCTATGAGGCATGTTCAATTGGAGAGTTTGTAGTTGTTGCATCAAATCATTCATTTGTGCACGTAGCTCCTGGAATTCCTCCACCGAAACAGCGGCACCATCTCCACGTCCTGCCATATTAGTAGAGGGGAAAAACAATATATATGTGGAATATATGTGGAATCACTCCCTCACCACTTGATGAACAAGTTCTTTCTCTTCCTAGAAAGGGCAAGAACCAGGGCTGCAATTTGTAGTGGAAGAGTGAAGAGACTACGGTGCAACAGCTCACGGTGCTTTTAAGTGGAGCTTGGTGGGGTAATATGTAAATGGAATGCGCTGAAATGTAGTAATGCAAAACCGAATAATAATCCAAGAACTCAAGTCTAAGTTGCTGAATATAAAGGAAAAGATGCTCAAAGAAAGGAACAAGATGTAGGAAGTGGATAGATGAACACCAATTGCACCAACCGAAACTTGTTGCTGCCCAAACCCCTTTGTGGTGTGCTGAACACAATTCTCTTTTATTTCTTTTCTTTCCTTTTTTTTCACAAGAACTCGTTGTTTTCAGTCCTTCTTTTGACCCATATACATCTTTTCTTTTAACCTTTGTGATAAACGCAGCACAACTTTTAACTAAAGGGGCACATAAGGATCAACTAAGATGGACGGCGCAGCACAAAAACAAGAAACTCAGGTGGGGAATTTGTGACGGGTAGAAAACAAGGGTGGAACAGGTGGTTTTTTTTTAGTTATATATATGCAGCAAGCAATGACGATTAGAACAAGGGTGGGATGGGTGGGTACATGCAGCAAGCGATTTGATGATTAGAACAATGATAACAACTAGAATGATGTGGAAAAGAAAAATTCAGCAACTAGACAAATCTTAAAGGATTAAAACTCGATAAAGCAAACTACAAAATCAATAGTACGTATGAATTTGGGCTGTAGGTTTTCTTTTTTTGGCTATTAGTGGACAGTAGGTATATAAACTCTATCCTACCAAAAACAAGAACAATCCTAACGAGTAAACGGAGGCTCGGTACTGGATGATGTGCACACGTCTATAAAGACGATGTAGCAAGTTGTTGTGGCCCGATCTTCTCATAGGATCTGCGAACTTGATAAATTGTCGTTATGCCGACCGGGTGAAGAGGCAAAGCACCGCTTGAGGCTGTCCACGCAACGAACTACCGAGACAATCACCCTTCCACGCATCTGATTTAACAGCCCACGCAATCACGCCAGATAGATGTGAAGGCACAAACTAGGTGAACTGCAGTTCGGCGTTCTACAACTCCCTCGTGAATCGAAAGAACAAGTTTGCAAGCCTCTCAAGACTCACATACTGGAACAAGAATTCCAAGAGTTGGTAATTCTAAAATTGCAATCACAAGTTCATGTTCACGTCATCCATTACAGGGATATATAGCACTAGTGGAGTTTCAGTTTGGTGGAAAATAATTGAGAACATGTAGTGGGAAGTTGCAGCACTACTTTTATTAATAACCAAGCCTAGTAGGGCGCCTAGCTGGTTGGTATTCTCTACATGCATGCTTTGGGCGTGTGTGGACAACAACCCGATTCTTGGTTTGCATGCATTCCTAACTCCCAAATTATTTGCTTGCACTTCAACGGCTGATATTCATGGTAGCTGAATGGCCTTTCCTCTCTCATACACGTCCAGGTTCCATGCATATATTTGGCGGGCAGAGTCCATCATCATCCCATGCTTGTTCGTGCACTCCATCATTCCTAAGAACATTGAAACAAGTACTCAAAAGCATAGGTTCATTCAATGTAATCTGATTATTAAGCATAAGGTTAGCGTTCACCTGAGAATGAATTTCCTTCTCCAATTGTTTAGCTCTACTCCTTGTAATTGGACCAGCTATATCAAGTGCAGCTTCATTTGGAGATGAGTGAATGCTAGGAATGTCTTCATTAGATTCTAGCATCAAGGAGAGGATAATCTACACCAGGAAGATCTTTAACAAGCAAGTCAATCATCCACAAGATTGCGAATTGTTTAAAGACTTGAAAAACATGCCATTTAATAGCTAAACTAGAAAATACCTGAACCATCTTCCAGTTTCCAGTGGTGCCATGGAAACCGAGGTCTTGCATAGGCAAAGAATAGCATTGTGTAAAAAACGATTGTTTTAGCATACTGCAATCAGAATTAAGCCATCTTGATCAATAAGGAGCACCCTACGCCGTCATTCTCCTAGGCAACCAAAAAAAAAATCCTTGGCAACCACCATTCACAAAACAAGGAAACGCTTCCATAACCAAAATCATCGACACCTTAAATCACAAAAATGAAGAAACATCTGTATTACGAGGCACGTGGTCACAAAATGTGAATCCCTGGCACAAAGATCGAGTACCATCCAACAAAACCAGACAACGATGTGAATCTTTGATCAATTTCCTACTCTGTTCAGCCAATACAGCATGCCCTAATTCCTTCTAAAAGAGCAAGAAGAAACACTCAGCAGATTAGCTAACAACTTCCCCAACTGGTCACAAGCCATCATTAACCAGGTGCCCTGCAATGCCACAGCAAAAGCAGTACATGTATGGACTGAGTGCACTGAATGGATCCTCAGCAAATCATGCTTGCCAATGCCATTTGATTGCTCATTTTATTACTTGGGCACAATATGATGCATGTCTCAAGCTTCTATCTTCTCTCATAGAAAAGAAGGAAAGCCTCGCACTTGAGAACTTCGTCTAGAGACACTTCTCTGATGCTTTTATCACTAGCACGAAACCAAGCGGAAGAGCTATTGCTTGTCTCCTGCTCAAGGACAATCCTGCTTCCTCTCGCATAAGCAACAAAGTGCACCCCCCCTGTTAGGTCCTCCTGCAATGCTCAATGCCACCAACTAGACGATATCTAGCATTATCTTTGTCCCCAGACCTGAAGATTTGCAAAATAATAATTCAAAAGGTCAAACAAACGAAATGTTAGATTAGCTATCAACGTCACTAACAAGAAAATACTACCATGACTAGCTGATTCCAAAACATAAAACAAAATTAGTGTCACAGTACAATTGTATTAATCAGTTCATTCCATTTTTTATGCGCACAAAAAGGGAAAATAAAATCCTTAGCTGTTCCATTTTGCAGAAAGGGATCACATAGCCATTCGCATATGCCGCAAATCGCCTATGTGTGAGACCCAAGACTAGGCAGTCATCACAATTCAATTAGACTTCACAATCAGCATGCAATGGAAGTACTAGATGCTAGTTGCCTATTGTCCCATTTTCATAGTACAGTCAGATACTAAAATAGCATAAATAAACTATTATAGAAATCTTTGTTCTGCGCCATTCTTTACAAAATTTTCAGACCCTTTTCAACACTGCTGCTATTTTTGTGCATATACTACAGAGGTCACACTTGGGTCACCAGGAGTGATAAAAACCCAGCAGAAACACCACAGGAAACAAAAGAAACCCAAGTAGAACTAGACAAAGTGATAAATTATTAAGAACTCAAACAAATTTATTTCTAACACTACTCCAGGTAAGACAAATGGCAACTAGAAATTCTTTTATAGAGACATAAAAGCACCTTCTGAATGAACAAAATTGAAACATGCAGTCTAAACAACTATTTTGAACTATACACCATATCTTCTTCAATCTTTCCTAAAGATACAGAACAAACTATGAAATAAAAACTAGCTACTGCAAATGAGAAACTTCAAGCTGCACAAAAGTAATAACTATTGCAGTAAAAACTTCGAACTTGGGTCTTCTCCCACTTGGCTTGCAGTATTTTCTAGCTCCACTTGTCGTGTTCTGTGTCAAGATTTAGTGCGCTGGCATTTTTATTATCATGGCACTCAACAGGTTGCTCTTTTCCTCCACTTTTCCGTGATGGTCACATTCAGCTCGGACCGTCAAGTGATGTGCTTTCACTGATGTATGCCACCATCTGTCCTCTATCTTTGCTTTGACTGGTGGGGCAAGAGAAAGCACAATCTTTTCAGCACGCTGGTCCTTCCCATTGATCCCTTATCACAAAGCCTGTTTATCACAAATGAAATGAACACAAAATACAGAAAGTAAGAAACAAGGAAAAAACGTATTAGGACAACAAATAATAAATTCCCATACAATGAAGTGCTCCCACAATGCAACTACTTAAGTATGAACACATTGTGGATCCATTGTTTTATAAAAGATAGATTAAGCATAGACTTGAAAAACATACCATTTAATAACAAAACCAGAAGCACCTGAAGCATCTTCCAAATTTCTAGTGGTGCCTAAACAAATTGAAAAGAGATGATCTAGCACAAGCAAAGAAATCTGCACCAAATCATATAGGCACAGACAACAATACTATATATGGAACCTAAAATCCAGATATTTTCTGTTTCAAAACTTAATATTTCTGATTTCAGATACTTATAGCTGCACAATTAAGCAATACTGAAGATGCTGAATTTTGATAGGGCCGGGAAGGGGAGGGCATGTACCTTGAGCAAAGAGAGCAGCAACACCTGTAACTGTAAGCAGCGAGTAAACAGAAACTTGAAGAATGGGTTAGAAAACGCACCTGGCGCCAGCAATCAAACACATACCGAACGCACCGACCAAACCTAACACATATCCATCTCCGGAGGAGGAGGTGGGAGCTGTTCAGGTGTCGCCACTACCGCTGCCGCCGGCTGCTGCGGCGGCAGATCGTAGTTCATGGTGTACACCCCATACACGGGCATGTAGTAGACGATGTTCACGCACGTCATGAGCACGATCGCGGCGATGCCCAGGTACACCCAGACGCGGAAGATCGGTACCCAGAAGCGGGCCACCTCGGGATCTGTAGTGAAGGAGAGGACCTTGATGATGCAGAGCACAACGTGGAGCCCGACCATAGCCATGCCCCAGGCGCGGCCCATGCCGCCGAACACGCAGGACACAGCGTACGGAAAAAGCAGCTTCACCTTCATCGGCGGCGAGGGACGCTTCTCATCCTGCGCCGCTGCGGGTGGGGCCGGAGGTGGGCTCAGCATCGCAGCAGGAGCCGAAGGGGCGACGACTCGAGAGGAGCTGGGATCGAGCGAGGAGAGAGGAGCACCTGCTGACATCGGGCCAGGAGGGGAGGAGCACCAGCGGCCTCGCCGGAATCGATCGAGGGAGCCGCCGGGTCGAGATCGCGAAGCGCGCGCGGAGCTGTGGTCGGGACTCAGGAGATCGAGATCGGGATGGGGGAATCGAAAACTCTGGGGATCGATTGCTCTGGGAGGCGGGGGGAAGCGGCGCCGACGCGCTAGGGTTTTATTGCCCGGGAAGATGAGTCGCAGAGTGGGTTCATGGAATTCTGGTGTCGCGTATCCCTCACGCGCCAGCCTGGAGGAAGAAGAAGAGTCGGAATCGGCTGCTCGGCCTCCCGCCTCCGCTCCGGCGCGGGGAGGTTAACCGCGGGTTTTTTCGTTATACCGACTTTACCCTTGAGCTCTTTGTTAACAAAAATATATAAAAAATAGGATTTTTCATTATTAGCGTCTTTACCCCTTGAGCCTTGACGACAAAAATAAAATAAAATAAATGGGTGCATTGGTGTAAGCTTCACGCAAAAACAAAAAAATACTTCGTGTATCGATTCAAACCCATAAATAAATCTTCGTTTGGCATATTGATGTTGAGAATAGCTCGATATATTGATTCCAAACTCGTAAGAGCTATTCTGCAAGCATCATACAATGGTCTAGTATTTTTTTTGGATTTTTTTAACAAAAATGCATAGTGTAAAGGAAAATGATATATAAAATAGATTTGTACCGATTAGTTTAGACGAATTAATTTTCAACCTCTGTCTCTTTAGCGTCCTCCGCTGCCACGGTTTGTGATCACCATGGTCCCCCTCCTTCCCGTGGAGCAACTTCGCTGGCTATAAAAGGAGCAGGGTCAGTCCAGTAGTTTTTAGGGTTTTATATTAAATTGAATAAAGTGTGTCCCATCCATCTCATGGGCTACTGACTGGTATCGTCGTTGTTGATTGCTTGCTAGATCTCTTATTTATCACAAATTATACGTTTAGTGCAGGTGTTGTTCTAATCATCCAACCCGATGTTTTTCTAGTTGATTTTGTTTTTGCAAAGGCAATGCAATTGGAGGGACAACCGAGTTCTTATATGTGTCTTTGTGTTACCATCTTGTTGGATTTAAATCTCGGCATCTCTCAATGACGGAACGTGTATCCGGGCTTCCAGATCCAGTATGGCTGGTATTGGCGGTTGATATTCTTTCAACGTGTCAGATGATGTTTGTTCCATGGATTAAGTAACAACCATATAGTATTATTTTAGATGAGTAAGATCTGTCACGTAACAGCACGAAACCTCATGTCAATTCGACTAGTTCTAAACTTGTTCATCTTCCAAAGTATTGCAAAGTTCCTATTGTTTTTTTTCCACTGGCATGGTTTTGCCTGAGCATCCAAGGTGCATGGGGTTGGATCGGATGTAGATCACTTGTTGATGCTTCCATTACAGATTTTATCAAGGTTCGGAAAACAAACTGGTTCGAAAAAAAAACTAGTTCGTCATAGCATATTCCAACACTTATTGGCCCGTTCGGCTTGCTGAAATTAACTGGAAAAACATTGTTCCGGCTGAATTGTTGTAAGAGAAAAACACTGTTCCGACTGAAAAAAAAACAAGCCGGCTTTGTGACCAGCCGAACGGGGCCATTAGGACTACTTCCTCCGTCCCACAATAAATGATGTGATAGCATTCAAAATGTGTCTCAAAAGAACAGTAACATTTTAGCCTAAAGTGTGGATTCCACCCTATACCAAGTACATCAAAGGTCCATCCATCATCTCGCTGTGGTCCAATATATATATAGAAATAAAAAAATAAAAAAAAACTGATGGTGTGGGAGGAGGCTTATCCTTTCCATTAGTCCTCACTGGTTGTTGCTGTGAGAAAGCAGATCCTTTATGAGTATGGATGAAAACGGTACGGATATTTATTCGACTGTCCGTTCGACCGAACAAATATGAACACTTATCTGGATAGTTACTCGGATATCCGTATTTTTTTTTTGATACGGATACTAAAACGGATATCTTAGGCGGATATCAAATACGGATGTAATATCATCGATATCCGGCGGATATCGGATAATCCGGTTAAGTATCGGATATATCCGGATATTTAAAAACGGATATTATCCGGATATTATTTAAACGACCTTGGATGGAGAAATGATCAAAATAAAAATTGTAGATCTCAAAAAGTTATGAAACTTTGTTGTTTACAACTTTTTTGTTTGAAATCATTTAGTGCTTCAAAATTTAAACCGTCCAAACTTTCTCAAATGGAAAACTAGTTTATAGGCGTCAAAATTTAAAAATCACAAATTTGAACCATCCAAACTATCTCAAATGGAAAGTTGACCAAAACAACAATTGTAGATCTTGATGAGTTGAACAAACTTGGTATTCAAAACTTTTCAATTTGAAGTCATTTAGAGTTCATAATACTAGAGTCAAAGTGTTGTTTTTTCATTTGACCAAATTTGACTTGGTCAAACTTGCTCAAATGAGACACTAAATGACATCAGATGAAAAAACTCTGAATACCAAGTTTGATCATCTCAGCAAGATCTACAATTGTTACATAGCTCATTTTCTGATTTGAGAAAGTTTTATCAAACACTAGTCACAAATTCTTAAATCTCATACAGACTTTCTAAAACTATGTCACACACTTGTGAAATTTGAACTACATTTTGTTCAAACTTTCTCAAATGAAAAAAATGGCATATATAAGGATTGTAGATCTTGAATCCATGACCATGACTCCATGAGACCCATGAAGCTATGAGCTTGGCTATTTCTACTCATGCCGCGAAGATTGGTGCTTGTATGATTTTTGATGTATGATGTATGATGTATCTGTATCTTTATCTTATTTGTTGCTTTACTCTTTAGTCTTTCGGCTTAATCTAGATGGATTATGGACTCATAGAGTGGTGTAATGGTTTGCGCACGTATGATATATATATATGTGCTGCTTTTACTCAATATCCGAATAGATATTTGTATCCGACCTTCTCTGAATCCGATTCATACCGTATTCGATACTCATTATTCATATCCGTAACCGAGTCAATCCGTATTTGTATATGTATCCGAACGCTATCCGTGTCCGAATCCAAATCCGAACAGAAATATGAAAACAAATATAATATGAGTGATATCCGTTCGTATCCGATCCGTTTTCATCCCTATTTATGAGCATGTCAATATAGATGGCCAAACGTCCGGGCCCGAGCTAGACACAGCCTGTAGTGACCGATCCAGGCACGACAAGCCATGTCGCTGGGGCCATGCCTCTTAGGGTCACGGGCTAGGCATTCGATCCAAGCACGACACTGAGCTGTTTTTCAGACTAGCCAACTTGGGAAGCACGACACTCCCAAGAAGGTTGGGCTAGCCCACGGTTGGAGCAAGTGACCGATGGGATGGAGAGGCGCTCGGGATCTCCAGCCTTCGGTATGGGACCTATGGCACTCGGGGTCTCCACCCTCTAGGACAGGAGCGGTGGCGCTCGAGGGGGGGGCTGGGGGCGTCGGTGCTACGAGTCTCTGGCCTCCCAGGACGGGAGCAGTTGCACTCGGGATCTCCGACCTCCGGTACGGGAGCGACGGCACATGGGGACTAGGGCTAGGGGCAACGGTGCTTGGGATCTCAAGCCTTCGGGACAGGAGCGGCGGCGCTCAAGATCTCTGGCCTCCGAGACAGGAGCGGTGGTGCTCAGGGGTTTGGCTGGTGGCGACGGGGTTTGGGATCTCCAGCCTCAAGGACGGCGAGTAGCGACACTCGGGGACCAGGGCCGTGGGGATGGCGGCGCTTGGGATCTCCGGTCTTTGGGACAGGACCGACGACGACGAGAGAGGGGAGGGAGGGGTGTCTGCGCAGGCGCACAATATCCGCGCGTCGCGAGGGGAGGCAAGGGGTGTCCGCGCGCGTGCGCGAGGGAAGGGGCAAGCGCCTCCACGGGTGCAGTGGACTACGAGAGGAGAGAACGGCGGTTGGAGGCGCGGGTTAAGAGAAATAAGTTAGGGTTAGTCTGCCTACGAGAGGGATTTATAAATTGGAGTGGTCCTCCATCGGGCCTTCCTTTAGATACCGGGCCGGGTAGCGCGTCGTGGTCACAGTCCAAGCATGGCCCTAGCTATCGGGCCGAACTGGCTTGGGCACGCTGACGACCGGACTAGGCCATGCTTGGGTCACGGCCTAAGCATGGCCCTAGTTATCGGGCTGACAGGCACGCTGACAAGTGACAACCGAGCCAAGCCGTGCTTGGCTAGGCCAAAAAACCGGGCTACCGTGCCAGCCACGTTTTCTAAAATGTTTCTTTTGTTGTGGAATGGAGTGAGTATGTAGTTTAGGAAAGGTGCTTCCAAGGCACCACTTCACCAACCGTGGATTTCACCTATTCAATATTTTTCTTTGATTTGCTATACTGAAGTCAATTGATCACAACATAATACAAAGCCCCGAAAATCATTCTAAACTGCAAACAGAGGTAAGCAAAGGTATTTCTTAAAACTGAGATGAGTAAGCAGAGATAGTTCGGCCCAATCTAACAGCTGTGATATGACCGATCAACAAGGGTCCATGCCATGTCTCCCTCGAAGATACAGGAGTACCGAGTAAGCTATGAGGAATAGAAAAAGAAAATGAGTGCTCGAGCTTCATTGATGGCGGGCGTAAAGCCCTGTTATTAGGCACCCTATTCTATTCGGTGTTGCGAGATATGCGGTGGAGAAAAGTGGGAAGAGAGGAAAAAGGTAACTCTGTTCATTACTTTTTTTGTAAATAGTAAGAAAATGGTGCAAGCATGCCCAACCTAAAAACATAGCAAATCAAACCAAAAAAATTTGATTTCTATGTTACTAGTTTGGTATGTTTGGTTTGGAGACGTCTTGGGATGGG